TTGTGTATAGATGTTCGCAAAGTATGGTGTAGATTATATTTATTTATTTAATAGGGATGGACATGATTGTGATTAAGATTGCATTGAAAATATGGCAGCTCGACATTGAGGAGTTAGTGTTGTACTAAGATTGTAATGTATGTGAGGTTGTATTAAGTTGTACAAATAGACTGGTATGTAATATTATAATTGTATTAGATATTAGAATTCTAGAGTATTTGATAAAGATTAAGATACGTTTTTATGTAATATAGATTAATGATCGTGTATGTAAGTATGATTATAAATTAGATCGAGTATATATGTAGATTAGTCGTATTTGTAAAGATAATATAAGATTTAGGTAGTTGTAGTAATTAAGATCTTTAGATTGATATTTTGATGATATGTATATTTTAATTAATGTGCTGTATATGGTATAGTATTTATTATAAGAATAGGTATATTGTTATATGTAAGATTAAGATCGGGTATTGTTGATTAAGTAAATATTTAAAGGAATCTGGATTGTAAGATATTAAGTAATATGGTTATTGTATAAGATAAAAGATTAATCGTTTGTATATGAATTAAATCGGTTAATGTAAGATTATAAGTAATCGGTTATGTTGATTAACGGATTCAGGTTTATGATATAAGTAAATAAGACGTAATTATGAGTTGTAAGATTAAGATCGGTTGTAAGATAAGATCGTTGTAATAAGACCTCATAAGGTTGTAAGATTAAGAAGTAAGATTAAAGAATCGGTTGTAAGATTAAGATATTAAAGATCGGTTGTAATTAAGATTATAAGATTAAGATCGTTGTAGATTAAATAGGTTGTAAGATTAAGATATTATGTAAGATTAAAGATAGGTAGATTAATCGGTTGTAAGATTAAAGATCGTGTTATGTAAATTAAGATAGGTTAGTAAGATATTAAAGATCGGATTGTAAGATTAGATAGGTTGTAAGATTAAGATTATACGTGGAAGCGTAATAAGTCGATAGAGTGAATCGAGATAATTTAGTTGCAATGATTCTAGAAAAATAGATTCCTGTTCAAAAAGGAAATGACTCTTGCAGCAGAAAATACTTCCTTGCAGCTTATGAAAAAGATGCTGCAGATTAAGAGTATACTTGCAATATTTATATTTAAAAAGTTACAGTAAATGAATACAAATCTTTTTTGCAACACAAAAATTTCCGTGCAGCAGAAAATAGAAACATCTTCCTTGCAAAATATTAAAGATAAAATTCTCCACGCAAACAGAGGATAAAAATAACAAATAATAAAAATTATAAAAAAAAAACATACATCTTTCACCTTATGCCACAGTTGAGTAGTATTTGAAGTTCTATCTTACTGCTTGAGGAAATTCCTTCTACTACAAAGAATACATTTCCCCCTCTCAATGGTACAAAAAAAGTTACCAATAGAAAAGTCTGTAACATTCAACGGAAGAGAAACTCATTTTTCATTGGTATAAAAGACCCTTTACGGCAGAGAAACAAAGATAATACTTTATAAGATAATTTTCAAATAAGAAAATACCTTCTTAATAACAAGAACAACAGCAAAATCTCGTCAGCTAAAAAAAATAAACAAAAATTGACAACAACAAAAACAATAATTTTCCCCTCACAAATTACTTAGATGAAAAAAAAGAGAATTCCCTTGCCCATATAGGACAGAATATGTTTCCTTTGTCAACAAAACAAAACACTTTCCAACAGACAATGAAGATGAATTACCCTGCCAACAAGGGCCAGTTTACCGACCCTTCCCTCAGAAAAGAGAATGGTGGGCGGCAACACGGAAGATTAAGAAGATATGAGGATAAAGATGATTAAGAAAAAAAGTAATGATGATAGTAATAGTAATAGAAATAATAATGATAAATAGTTAATATAATGATAATAGTGATAGAGTAATAGTAATGATAATAAGGAGAATGATAATAATAATGATAAGAAAAATGATAATGATAATGATGAGAAAAATTATAATGATAATAATGGTAATAAGAATGAAAATGATCATAATAATTAAAAGAAAAAAAAGACAGAAAAAGTAGAACAAAAGTGATAGCAGATATTGAAAATAAAGGAAAGATAAAAAAATATAAGATATAAAGAGAAAAGAAAATACAATAAGAAATAAAAAAAAGAAATACAATAAGAAATAAAGAGAAAAGAAAATACAATAAGAAATAAAGAGAAAAGAAAATACAATACAAAAATGAAATAAAAAATGCAATAAGAGATAAGGAGAAAATAAATCAAACAGTGCTTTATAAATATATGGATTGCGGAGCAAATAAGGGCAACCAAGATAATGAGGCAGTTGAGTCGTTAACATGTAATATCTGTGACCAATGAGATAAAACTGACGACTAGTGCATTATGTCACTTTCGCATTATAAAGTTCAAGATAGTTACTAAATAGTTTAACGATATTTTGACTAATTTTGAAGAGTTATGTTAGGGTATGTGTCTGTCTTAGGGCATGTGTCTATGTTAGGACCTGTGTTTAATTTAGGGTATGTGTCGCCTTGATTGTCAAGAACAAGTTGGGTCGCTAGCCATAAAGGTGAAAATCCAATGAGATAAAATAAGGGAAATAGGTTTTATAGACAGTAAGAGAAAAGAAAACCACATGGCATCTGATAGATAAAAGGGCATTTTCCGATAGATATTATTGAAGAGAGATAATACAAATGGTATTATTATTACCATTAATTTTTGTTATTACTGTGATTGTTGTTTTGTTGTTGTGTTGTTGTTGTTGTTTTTATTATTATTTATATTGTTAGTAGTAGTAGTAGTAGTAGTAGTAGTAGTAGTAGTAGTAGTAGTAGTAGTATTAATAGAAATATTGACATCATTATTATGAATATTATTATTATCTTTATTTCTATTACTTTTACTATTACCTTTTGATTATTATTATTATTATTATTATTATTATCATTATGATTATAACCATTATAATAATAATAGTTATTATTATCAAAATTAATATTGTTATCATTATTATTGTTATTATTAATATTTTTATTATTATCATTATGTTATTATTAATGTTTTTATTATTATTGTTATTATTAATATTTTTATTATTATCATTATTATTACTATTGTTATTATCATTAATATCACTGTCAGTGTCATTATCCTCACCCTCCCTTCCCCTCCCCCCCCAGAACGCGCGGGAAATGGTACGGCGAGGACAGCGACAGCGGAGGGTCGACGGACTCGCTTATCGACGAGGCTTGCCATGTCACGTCGACGCCTCTCGACCTCTCGGGCAGTATGTTGCGTGAGCGAGTGTTATGATGTTGGCGGTTTGGGTTGGGTTTAAGTGGTTTATGTGTTTATTCGTCTCTCGGGTTCTTAGGTTGGTGCTAGGTTCGTTTTGGGATTGTGTTGGGTTGGTACATATGCTAACGGTTTTTTTTTTTGTTGCGTTCGTTAGTTTGTTGGTTAGTTGGTTAGCGGGACAACCCAAAAAGTTGTGGACAGATTTTTATCTAAGTTTTACCAGAGGTGCGTCTTGGCCCAACTCAGATGTCATTAAATTTTAGTGGAACTTAGATGCCGTTAAATGTTGAAATTTCGGTTGTGATCCGGATCATGGTCCGGATATAGCGCAGAGTAAAAAGTTATGAGCAGATTTTTAGTTTTTAATTTTTTAAATTTTATTTTATTTTACATTTTTATTTTTATTTCATTTTTTGTAACCAGAGGCGTGTCTTAGCCCAATTTAGATGCCATTAAATTCTAGTGGCGATCTGGAGCCAGGAATTAGAGGAATTCATTAGCATAGCGAGACAGGGAAGTACGGACGTCACCAGTGTACCTGACACAATTGCCTTGGCGGAGGTATGCGCCCTCTGAGTGCTTTTAGCTAATTCTTATTTATTTTATCATTATTTTATGTTGGTGTTAGCGTCATTTCGTACTTTGCTATGTTGTTGGGTTTTTATATACCGTGTTGTTTTTTTGTTATTGTGTTGTGTTTTTATACGTATCTTTTGTCTGTATGTTATGTTGTTGGTCTTTTGTTATTTCATTTTGTCTGTTTTGTTATGTTGTTAAATCATATCTTTTGCTACTGTGTTATGTTGTCGTTTGAGTTTTGTTCTATGTTTTTTTTATGTTCTTTTGTTTATCTTTTGTTAGTATATTATTACGTGTTTTGTAATATTGTCATGTTGTCAACTAGTGTTTCTGTTATAAAGTTTTTTTTATTATATTAATTTGTTACTTACTGTCTGTTTTGAGTTATCAATTAGTGCTTGTTATTTTGTCGTGTTAATTAGCATCTGTTGTTTATCACGCCATGCTGTCATGTTGTTAGTTAGTATCTCATAATATGTTGTTTTTTAATATGATACTGATGTAAGTTGATGTATTTTATTATCATATTGTTTGTGTTTTGTGATCATGCATTTTTAATTAATTTCTTCCATTGCGCTGTTACAATTATCTTTGTTTTTGTTATTAATCAAAGAAAACTTAGTATAGTATTTCGTGGGGGTGACTATGATATTCCTTATTCTTTCGTGATTACATAATGTTTTTATGGCTTGTTACACTACTGTCGCATTATCACGTCATCCCGTGTTCTCTTCGTCCTCACGCTCTCTCGCTCTACGCACGCACTCCTTTTTTTAGCTTCATCCTCTGCCGATTTTCCTCATTTCTCCGTCATTTTCCTATTTTTTTCCGTTCTCATTTTCATCATTTTCTATTTTTTTCCTGTACTTATTTTCCGTATTTTCCCTTCCTCATTTTCCTAATTTCTTCCGTCCTCTTTCCTTTTTTCCCATTCATCCTGTGCTCATTTTCCTCATTCTTCCTGTCCTCATTTTTCTATGTTTTTCCCATTCTTCCATTGCTCATTTTCGCGTCCTCTCATCCTCATTTCCCTCACTTATATCTTGTTGTGAGCCTTGTCTTCATTCCTAGATTTTCCTGTTAGTTTTTTGTTTTTGTTTTATTCTTTGTCCTTATTATTTTGTATGTTTGTTCTTGTTTTGTCTCGTATTCATCTCATGCTTCCTCATCCTGATCCTCATCCCTCATTTTCACCTTAACATCAAGTCTCATTCACTCATTTTCATTCTCGTATCGTGCTGTACTCTCAACATATTCCTCTTTATAAGACTTTTCGGCATCCTTGTCATCATACCACGTTCCCTCATCCTCATCCTCATCTTAATCTCCTTCTTCCTTCATTCTTTCTCTTTTCCTAAGCCTCATCTTAACCTCCTTTTTACCTCATCCTCCCCTCCCTTCACCCTCTCTCATCCCCATCCCCATCTTAACATCCTTTCCTCTCATCCTCATCTTCCTCCCTCATATTAACATCCTTTCCCCTCACCCTCTCTCATCCTCACCCTCATCATAACATCCTTTCCCCTCACCCTCTCTCATCCTCACCCTCATCATAACATCCTTTCCCCTCACACTCCTCTCCCTCACCCTCTCTCTCATCCTCATCCTCATCACAGCATCCTTTCCCCTCACACTCCCCTTCCTCCCTCATCTTAACCTCCTCTCCCCTCACCCTTTCTCTCATCCTCACCCTCATCATAACATCCTTTCCCCTCACCCACTCTTTCATCCTCATCCTCATCATAACATCCTTTCCCCTCATCCTCATCTCCCCTCACCTTCTCTCATCCCCATCCTCATCATAACATCCTTTCCCCTCACACTCCTCTCCCTCCCTCACCCTCATCATAACCTGCTTTCCCCTCACACTCCTCCCCCTCACACTCTTTCTCACCTAATCCTCATCATACCATCCTTTCCCCTCACACTCCTCCCCCCTCACCTTCTCTCATCCTCACCCTCATCATAACCTCCTTTCCCTCACACTCCTCCCCCCTTACCCTCTTTCTCACCTCATCCCTCATCATACCCTCCTTTCCCCTCACCCTCATCTCCCTCCACCTTATCATAACATCTTTCCCCTCACACTCCCCCCCTCACCCTCTTTCTCATCCTCATCCTCATCTTAACATCCTTTCCCCTCATCCTCACCCTCATCCTCATCATAACATCCTTTCCCCTCACACTCCTCCCCCCTCACCCTCTTTCTCATCCTCACCCTCATCATACCCTCCTTTCCCCTCACGCTCATCCTCCTCCCTCATCCTCATCTTAACATCCTTTCCCCTCACCCTCATCATACCATCCCTTCCCCTCACGCTCATCCTCATCTTAACATCCTTTCCCCTCACGCTCATCCTCCTCCCTCACCTCTCCCTCCCTCACCCTCATCATAACCTCCTTTCCCCTCACGCTCATCCTCCTCCCTCATCCTCATCTTAACATCCTTTCCCCTCATCCTCGCCCATCCTCATCCTCATCATAACCTCCTTTCCCCTCACACTCCTCCCCCCTCCCCCTCTTTCTCATCCTCACCCTCATCATACCATCCTTTCCCCTCACGCTCATCCTCCTCCCTCATCCTCATCTTAACATCCTTTCCCCTCATCCTCATCATAACCTCCTTTCCCCTCACGCTCCTCCCCCCTCACCCTCTTTCTCACCCTCATCCTCATCATACCATCCTTTCCCCTCACGCTCATCCTCCTCCCTCACCCTCTTTCTCATCCTCACCTCATCATACCTCCTTTCCCCTCATCTCACCCTCATCCTCATCATAACCTCCATTCCCCTCACCCTCATCCTCATCTTACCATCCTTTCCCCTCACGCTCATCCTCCCCCTCCCCCTCTTTCTCGTCCTCACCCTCATCATACCCTCCTTTCCCTCACGCTCATCCTCCTCCTCACCCTCACCCTCATCATACCCTCCTTTCCCCTCACGCTCATCCTCCTCCCTCACCCTGACAGTGTGCTCGCCCGCAGAAACGGACTCCTTCGCTCGCGCAGGAGACGGCGGTCCAGCAGGAGGCGCAGGAGCCGCTCGCACCAGGGGGCCTTCAGCGCCTGGAGGGAGAGGGACGAGGACGCGCTCGACGGCGGAGGTGAGGACGCGGGGGGGTGGAGGAAGGGGAGGGGGAGGGAGAGGGTGAGGGGAGAGGGATGGGGGATGGGATGGAGAGGGGGAGGGGGGATGGGAGGGAGAGGGGGAGGAAGGAGAGGGACGAGGACGCGCTCGACGGCGGAGGTGAGGACGCGGGGGGTGGAGGAAGGGGAGGGGGAGGGAGAGGGTGAGGGGAGAGGGATGGGGGATGGGATGGAGAGGGGGAGGGGGATGGGAGGGAGAGGGGGAGGAAGGAGAGGGACGAGGACGCGCTCGACGGCGGAGGTGAGGACGGGGGGTTGGGGGAGGGGAAGGAGGGGGTGGAGGGAAAAGGATGGAGGGTAAGGGGAAGGGGAGATGGGAGGGAGAGGGGGAGGAAGGAGAGGGACGAGGACGCGCTCGACGGCGGAGGTGAGGACGCGGGGGGTGGAGGAAGGGGAGGGGAGAGGGGTGGGATGGAGGGGGAGGGGTGGAGGGGAAGGGAGGGAGAGGGGGATGGGAAGGAGAGGGGTGGGATGGAGGGGAAGGGGAGGGGAGGGGGGATGGGAGGGAGAGGGGGAGGAAGGAGAGGGACGAGGACGCGCTCGACGGCGGAGGTGAGGACGGGGGGTTGGGGGAGGGGAAGGAGGGGGTGGAGGGAAAAGGGATGGAGGGTAAGGGGGAGGGAGATGGGAGGGAGAGGGGGAGGAAGGAGAGGGACGAGGACGCGTTCGACGGCGGAGGTGAGGACGCGGGGGGTGGAGGAAGGGGAGGGGAGAGGGGTGGGATGGAGGGGGAGGGGTGGAGGGGAAGGGAGGGAGAGGGGATGGGAAGGAGAGGGGTGGGATGGAGGGAAGGGGAGGGGAGGGGGATGGGAGGGAGAGGGGGAGGAGGAGAGGGACGAGGACGCGCTCGACGGCGGAGGTGAGGATGCGGGGTGGGGGGAGGGGGTGGTGGGGGTGGGGAAGGGGAGGAGGGAGAGGGGGAAGGGATGGAGGGAGGGGGAGGGAGGGGGAGGGAGAGGGGAGGGGTGGAGGAGGGGGTGGAGGGAGGGAAAGGGAGGGGGGAGGGGGGGAAAGGAAGAGGGGTGGAGGGAAAGGGGGAGGGATGGAGGAGGAAAAGGGGAGGGCAGGGGTGGAGGAGGGAGGGAGAGGAGGGGGGAGGGAAGGGGAGGATGGAAGAATGAGTGGGTGAGGGAAAGGGGGATGAGGGGGGGGGGAGAAAGAGATGGGGTAGGGGGAATAAGGGAGGTGGAAGGCAAAAGGGGAGAAGAGTGGGAAAAAACGGAGGGGGAGAGAGGGAGGAGGAAGAAGGGAAAGGGAGGGGAGATGGGTAGAGAAGGGAGCAGGAGGGAAAGGGGAGTAGAGAGAGAGAGAGAGGGGAAGAAAGGAGTAGGAGGGGATAGGAAGGGGGAGGGAGAGGGAGGACATGGAGGAGGGGGAGGGGAGAGGGGGAAGAAGGGAAGTGAAGGAGGATAGAGAAGAGAAGGGAGGTCAAGGAGGGGAAGAGGGGAGGTGAAGGAGAGGGGAAGGTGATGAAAGGGAGAAAGGGGAATAAAGGCGAGGGGAGACGATGGAGGAGACAGGTGATTAACTGAAAACCGAGGGAAATGTGAGGGGAGGAGAAAGGGGTAGGGTGAAGGGGCAGAAGGGTTGAGTGGGAGGAGAGGGGAGGAGGAGAGGAGGAAGAGGAGGAGGAGGAAGAGGAAGAGAAGAAGGAGAGGAGGAGGAAGAGGAAGAGAAGAAGAAGGAGGAGGAGGAGGAGGAGGAGGAGGAGGAGCAGGAGGAGGTGATGATGATGATGGTGATGCACGAAGAGGAAGAGGGGAAGGAGGAAAAAAATTTTTTTTATCATCGTGTACCAAACTGACTCTATATACCTTAAGCCAAAGGAAAGAAAAGAGGAAAAATTTAGTTCAGGTAACCCGACCGACCATATTTTTATCGCTAAATTCCCGCCTCTCACAAATCCAAAACTTGTTTTATTTTTCCAGTGCAATATATAGGTCTAGAAAGTAGGGTTTAGAGTGAGGCGCTGTCCACGAATAGGTTCATTACATCACCTAAAAAAAAAGAAAAAGAAGAAGAAGAAGAAGAAGAAGAGTCTATTACCTGAACCAAAGGTGTGTGTATATATATATATTATTATATTATATATATATATATATATATAATATATATATATATATATATATATATATTTTTTTTTTTTTTTTTTTTTTTTTTTTTTTTTTTATTATTATTATTATTATTTTTTTTTTTTTTTATTATATATGTGTGCGTGTGTGTGTGTGTGTGTGTGTGGGTGTGTGTATATTTTTTTTTTCTTTATTTTTCTTTTGCCATAGACAAGGTAAAAATCCTGAAAACACCGCTTGTCCCTCAGGCGGCCGCCCGTACCTGCCTTACCGTTTCGACCAGATCTCTCCGGGTCAGCAGGTCAAGGTCCTCGCTCCTGGAGGGGGCGTGGCCGTCGCCCGAGTGCTGACCAATCAGAAGCCGCCGTTCTCCAGTATGACCAAGAGGGACTTCAGGTCATCCTCGGGGCTTTCGTCAGCGCACTCCTCCGCCGTCACCGTCGTGCTGCTCAGTGAACCCAACAGGTGAGGGGAGAGGGAGTAGAGAGGGAGGTAGAGGGAGAAGGGAGAGGAGAGGGAGAGAGGGAGAGGGAGAAGGAGAAGATGAGAGGGAGAGAGATAGGAGAGGGAGAAGGGAAATGAGAGGGAGTGGGATATAGAGAGGGAGAGAGGGAGATAGAGAAGGGAGAGGGAGAAGGAAAATTAGAGGTAGAGGGATAGGGAGAAGGAAAAGGAAGGGACAGGGAGAGGGATAGAGGGAAGGAGAGAGAGGGAGAGGAAAAGTGGAGGGGAGGGGAGGGGGATAGAGAGAGGGAGAGAAGAGAAGGTAGATAGAGGGGATAACAAGGGTAGAAAGCGCGAGAGACAAGGAAAGAAGTAAGAGAGAGAAATCAAAAGATAAATAGAGAGAAAAGATTAAAAGCAAAGAGACTGAAGAAGGAAATCAATAACATAAGGAAACGCACAGGAGTAAAGCTAGAAGGAGAGCGCGTGACTCGGAATTGCACGCAGATAACGACCCTGTCCCTTTTCCAGGTTGCAAGGCAGCATCGTCACCGTCCCCCTGGAGAAGGTCCTGCTCGCTTGGCCCTCCAACTAGCGCTCACCATCCCTACCTACCCCCTGCCCCTTGCCCCGTGCCCCTGCCCCCCCTGCCGGCGCCTCGAGCAGCTCCTCGGCACTGTCGAATCGCCATCAAGTCACCATCGGATTTCGCTCGAGAATCAGCGCGGATATGGCACGGTTTTCCTGCATCCAGCGAGTGTTTTGGGGATCCATTCTAGTCAACAGTCCCTTTCTTCGGAGAGGGAGGAGTGGAGGAGTGGAAGAAGGGGAGAAAAATGGAAGAAAATGATTGAGGGACAAAGGAGTGGATTGTCTTTGGTGTTTAATGCCCAGAGATGTTTGTTTTACTTCAAATGTTTTACTACTCAGATCTTGGTCGCTTCTGTCTGTCCGTCTGTCGTCTGTCTGTCTGTCTCTCTCTCCTATCTCTCTCTCTCTCTCTCTCTCTCTCTCTCT